CCAGTATCGTCGCCAGTATCGTCGCCAGTATCGTCGCCGGTGTCATCACCGGTATCACCAGAATCATCACCAGTGTCATCACCAGTGTCATCACCAGTGTCATCACCAGTGTCATCACCAGTATCGTCTCCGGTGTCCTCACCAGAATCATCACCAGTATCGTCGCCAGTATCATCTCCAGTATCATCTCCAGTATCGTCTCCAGTATCGTCTCCAGTATCGTCTCCAGTATCGTCTCCAGTATCGTCTCCAGTATCATCTCCGGTATCATCTCCGGTATCCTCACCAGAATCATCGCCAGTATCTTCGCCAGTATCGTCTCCAGTATCATCGCCGGTATCGTCTCCAGTGTCATCGCCAGTGTCATCGCCAGTGTCATCACCAGTGTCATCACCAGTGTCATCACCAGTGTCATCACCAGTGTCATCACCAGTGTCATCACCAGTGTCATCACCAGTGTCATCACCAGTGTCATCTCCGGAATCATCTCCGGTATCCTCTCCGTCATCGCCGTCGTCGCCCGAACCATCATCAGTCGGTTGAGCAGCTTCAGAGCTAACGGGGTTAGCACTTGTAGAAGTCGCAATACCCGAAGAAATGACCGGCTTAGACGACGACACTGCATGTGATGAGGTCTCGGCGGCACTGCTACTAGTTACGTGTGCAGAGCTCGAGGTTGTGGTGTGCGATGCCGTGTGCGATGCCGTGTGCGATGCCGTGTGCGATGCCGTGTGCGATGCCGAGTGCGATTCCGAGTGGGTTGCAGAGTGCGATGCAGAGTGGAACTCAGGAGTGGAAGTCAGATGCTCAGATCCTGTGCTTGTATGGTGGTGTGCAGCGCTGGAGGACAAATGATGGGATTCGGTGCTCGACGTATGGGTATGACTTCCTGTAGCAGAAGACCCTGGACTCGTGGTATGGCTATGAGTAGAAGTGCCTGCCGCAGACCCCTCCGAGGCTGTCCGTGTTGATGTCCCTGGAGTGGGAGTTTGCACAAACTGGCCTCCTGACGCAGAGGTCTCGTGAGTCGCACTTCTCGAGGTGCTGTGGCTCTCAGGTGTCCTTGTGCTGGTCGTGTGCGTAGGAGTGGCCTTTGTCGAGGTCGAGGTACTGTGGTCCTCGGGTGTCTTGGTGCTGGTCGTATGCGTTGGTGTGGCCTTGGTCGAGGTCGAGGTACTGTGGTCCTCGGGTGTCTTGGTGCTGGTCGTATGCGTAGATGTGGCCTTGGTCGAGGTCGAGGTGCTATGTGACTCAGGTGTCTTGGTACTCGTGGAAGTAGATGTATCCTTGGTCGAGGTTGAGGTACTTTGAGACTCGGGCGTTTTAGTGCTTGTTGTGTGAGTAGCCGTGTCCTTGGTCGAGGTCGAGGTAGAGGTCTTGGTCGAGGTAGAAGTCTTGGATTTGGTGCTCGTCGTGTGAGTAGTCGTGTCCTTGGTCGAGGTAGAAGTCTTAGACTTGGATTTTGTGCTCGTCTTACTTGACTTCTTGCTTGTCTTGCTCGACTTCTTGCTCGTCTTCTTTTTGTGTTTTCTGGCCACCAGCCGGCCGTGCTTGTCTTCATCCACCTCATGCTCAATGGCGGCAGAATCCGACTCAGCCAGCCAGGCTCCTGCTACCGGAGCAGGAGTGATAGCAGGGTGAGATGCTACCATATCGGTAGTAGGTAGATCAGCTCCCCAGGAGCTGGAAACCAGGCTGCCGGCCCACAGAGCCAGCAACAGCGTCCTCCTAAGTGTCGCAGGCATTTTCTGTGTTCACGATGCTTGGGAAACGAAATTTGGAGGTGGGAGGTAAAAGCATATCTTATATGATCGCCCTGATAACATAGCCGCATTAGGATTCAGCCGTGGTGTACTGAAACGGCTGCGGTCCAGGGTCGTCGGCCCCATGCGTCGAACCTCTAACTCGTTAGTGAATTAGATAGATCTGGGGACTGATTCGGATGGACTATCGAACCCAATGAGTGGTAGCCAACAGTGGGTCTGCGGTCCTTCATAAGGGGCGAAAAGGCGTTGCTCATTCAATCTTGCCAGTGTTGGGTCAGATGACTCTGGGATTGGAGTCTTTCACTCGACCTGACTATATGCTATCAACCTGTCATACTTAGTTTCCCAGCACTATCTTTTTTCATCGTTATCCTGTCTTGCAGGGCGGTACGGACGTCGGTTTGTGCATCTGCAAGCTTGATAAGCTGTGGCATCAGTGAATGAGACTCACAAAGCAAACAAAGCAAAATGGGATATGAACCAACAAGCTAGTTGTGTAGCGAATGCGGACGCAGTGGAGTCAGTTCATCCAAAGACTAACAAGACTCACGGGGCACCTCCAGCTAACTCAGAGTGTCGGTTACCCCTGGCGATCTCTGAACTAAGAGGTTTTGGCCCCATGGCCCCAGACGTGCCCGACAGATCAGGTGTTTGCTTCCTGTTTGCTTAGGCATAATGTGCCAGTTCCAACCAGCCTCAGAATCGCCCCCACGTCAGCGACTAACACTGCCACCTTAGAATCAACCAGACCTCCTCTTTTCCCTCCTCCCCCCTTCTTTCCATCCATTCATGGATAGCTTGATCTCGGGAATATCATCTGGATCCTCGGTAAGTCGGCGATAGTAGCCCTCGCTAAGTGTCCCTCTCCCCTGAGCTCCAAGCGCAGAAAAGCGAAGAGCCCGGAAGCCTTGGGGGAATGTTACCCGACATGGTCAGCCTCACGGTGCAACTACTTGTGGCATACAGAATCGGTTTAGCCGGTGTTGGCTTTCACATCCAGGCCTGTCTTTCCAATCGAATCAATGACAGGACTAGTATTCTTGTGTCAGCCCCCGACGCTCATGCAGCATGCTACTACATGCTACATGCTACCTCGTACCGGCCAATGCTCCAAGAGTCCTTGTGTTAGATAAGATGATGTTTTTCAATTGCTAATATGGTTTCCCAGAGATGTCTCCTCCCGGCAATGTCGCTGTCTGCGCCAGTCATAACCCCAGATCCACACCACTTCCATCGCTGGCGCGCACAGAAAACACATGAATCCGATTACAGTAAAAGCCCACCCATTGCCGATGGCGTCAATCATAGGAAGGATTGCAGCAGCTGCACCAGCTCCGAGCCAACATCGTGTGAGATTCATGAGGGCTGTTGCCATGGCCGGACTCTGAGGGTAGATATCGACCATCAACGCACTCAAGGTATTCATTACTGCTGCGGAAGTATACCCGATGAGAAGAAGTAGGATGATTGGTCCTGCAAGATTGGTCTCGTAGTGCAATACCCAGCCATACGCAATCATGCTCAGTGCCTCCCCGATTGCCTGCGGTAAGACGACCTCAGTGCGGGGGCGTTCGATGGCAAACTTATCCAAGTCAGGTCGGTGATTGCTGGAAATATCTATGCCTTGGCTGTGTGCATGCCGTCGATAGTTCCAGTCCGTTATTATCCCCTGTGTATATGCAGCAATCAGATTGCCCACACCAAGTGGAATAAAGCACAGACCGATCTGCACCTCGTTAAAGTCATAGATGCGGCTGAACTGCGAGGTGATGGTGCCTGTAACAGCAAAGTAGCCTGCGATGGCCACACCATTTCCCAGAAGGATCAGGAAAACTTCTTTCTTAAAAATAATGGTAAGAGCCTTGAGCGGGTTGGGGAAGCGGATGTGAGTCTCCACTGAGGAGTAACCATCGGCCCGTTGACGTCGAGAGCAGAGCTGAAGGCCCGACAGGTTCCATAATGGGGGATATTGTGAGCCATTGCCTACAACCTTGCGCGCAGTTTCGGGAAGGAAAAACAGTAGCACGATAAAAAAAGCACCTGCAAGGATTGTCAACAACCAAAATATGAAGGGCCAGCCTAGGAACTGGGTCAGGAGCCCCCCGATTATAGGCCCTATCGACGGGCCAAGGATGAAGCCGGCCGAGACATATCCAATGTACCTGCCGCGTTCGGCGGTAGTGACGACGTCAGCAACAATAGCATTAGCGAGAGCAATGGTGCTGCTACCGCCAGCACTCTGAAGGCATCTCAAAATAAGCAGCGCGGCATAGTTGCGCTGCAGGGCGAGCCCGATGTTGGCGGCGATATAGGTGATGAAGCAAAGAATGTACGCTGGTCGCCGACCTGCACTGTCGGAAAGCCCGCCAAATATAGTGGGTGCGAGGCCTTGAAAGATCTAGTTTATCATGGTAAGAACGGATTCTCGTCTATTTGCTGCTGTATGTATTTGCCTACCATGTACGTCGATAAGGTGAGGTTGATCAAGGTATCGCTCACGTGGAGCTGCTCGGCAATAGTGTCAAGGGCGGGCAGGTAGATGTTGGCCGACAAGGAGGAGAAAATACTGGCCACTGAGGCCATCAGGACAATCAATGCTTTTGTCCGACGGGAGAAGGTCGAGTAAACCTCGGTTTCACCGGGAGTCGAATTCGGATCCACTTGCGGTGGCTCGGTATCCGACGGCACCCTTTCTGCTTTGGGGTCCGGGTCATCACACTGTTTCTCGCTCGACTTCACGGAGACCATGGTATGTGTGCTCTATATTGCACCGAGATATACACTGGGCTAGGATCCAGCCCCTGGGAGACCAGGTAAAACGAACACAAACTCGCAGGGCGATGCACCCTTTTGAATGAGCATGCGTATCGGAGGGCTCTGACTTATGTCTGCAGCTAATCATTCAAGGACAAGGCCGATCAATATCTGCATGGTCGATCACATCATAGGGGCTTGGATCCTGTCTGGTCGAAGAGCGCACGCTTCGTCGTTGAGCTACCACGGATAATGATGCATAATGCTGCTCGTCCTCGAACGTGGGCAAGCGTCAGTCTAGCGCAGAGATGACAATATTCCCCGTAGGGGCTACTTCATTTCCTCAGTTGATGCCATCATTATATTGAGAAATTGCAGCTTATTAGGCAAGCTTTCAGCCGCTGAGTACTCTCTCCTGCCTCATCTCTTATCAGGTGTTATGCAAGGTATGTAATGTATCCCTGCGATACCTGCAGTCTGCCGGTCCAATTTCCTCCCATTAGCCCCAACCCACACGGTATTCCCTCTTGGGGGGCTCCTCTTTCTCCCAGGTTGCCACATCTGACATGATTTGCATTATCCTTAAGTTCAACACTACACACAGCTGACAATCGCAACACCTCTTCAACACCATGTTATCGATACCTATAGATCATCCCCCGTATCAGCTTTAATGATCCCAGCGCCATTTCCCTTATCTATCAAAGACAGTGTTATCTCGGAAGCTTACCCCAAACCAACTACATGCTTTTGTAGCATTGTTGTGTCAAGCTGAGATGCGTAGCCTCGAATGTGCTGTTCTGGTGGTCCGGTACGGCGAGGTCCCCCGTAAGCGTGCGGAACGGGAAACTTTTGTCCGGAGATTTTACGGTCAAGCCGTTGCTTATATTTATTGGCACTAGAACCTTGGACTATTGATTGGAGTGCTTGAGGCGAGCTGCTCCCCGGCTACTTTGGGGTCGGTTTATCTGCACCTGGACTGTGTAGGGTGTGTCCACGAATGGATCTGTTCGATAGTGATATCCAACCGGAGTAAATGTCACGGAGCCATAGAATCTATATATAGGGCGCAAGTTGAGTAGCTGACAATATTTTTTTCCTTGTTAAATTGCCATGTAGTACTCTTTCCAGCTGGGAAATCGACGTTCAATTGGGTTTTTTTGGTTGAAGCTTCATACAGTAGACTAAACTGACATATTGCTGGAGCCAACAGGAAAAAAAACCGCAATTTATGTGAATGAGACCAATTCAGCTGAGAAGGAAATGATTTCGGAAAGAAAATGTATTGTTTCTTCGATCATAGAATAATGTTTGCACTGAACCCACTGAAGAAGACCATCCCATCAAGAGATGCTTACTGTAATTGTATCAGGCCCCGAAGTTATATATATCGGCTTAGTAGTGATCCACGATTCGATATGGAGAGAAAACGACAGAAACCCAACAGTACAAGAATTTTTCCTGATTATCCCCAGGACTTCAGACTAATTAATTAGGAGTTGCAATCTTCTCATATGCTTCACTCATATTGAATACATACACCGCCACCTCAACATCACCCCACAATTCCGGCTTCAGGAAGACTCCGCAGAACCGCACTTTCAATTTTCTTTGGAAGATAGAACAAAAGTTAGGCGCAAATAATATATCAAGCCCGGGTGGTCTAGTGGTATGATTCTCGCTTAGGGATACAAACCCAAGCATATCTGCGAGAGGTCCCGCGTTCGATCCGCGGCTCGGGCCTTGAATCTTCTTTTTTGATTTTTTTGACATCTCCATTTCTTTCTACGATTTAGCTGTATCGATTACTCAATAATGATATTTTGTTTGTTCCTTCTATGAATTAATTTATGTTGTCTGTATCCCTACGTCAATGAACACCTTACTATTCGCGCCCCGGGAAACAGCAAGCAACGAACAGTCCGACGAGTGATTTCTAGTAGTTTGAATCGTCGAATGATCAATCAATCAATCAATCCGTTCTACCTCTCATCCTGCCTACCAGCACAACTCATTAATGGCAAGAGGGATTTCTACAATCCTTCGACCTACGACAGCTTGGTGGTATTGCTCGAATCTCACGCCCGCTCTACCGCAGCAGGCCACTGTGCACCAGTTGCCGCCGCCTGTCCCGTCATTTCAAGCGCATCAGCATCAGTTCCATCAGCAGCGCGATCTTCCTCGTTCCATCCTTCGCGATCATCCTTCACCATCCGCACAAAACACACGTCCAGCAGTAATGCCACCGCGCTGATCCCTACCCCGAAGTACAAAGCAGCGCGGTACCCCATTATGCGACCGGAGTGTTTCGCAATCTGGTCCTCGATCGTAGCGGCAAAGCCCAACCCTAGACTAACGCCGTAGAGGTTCAATGCGCCGATCAGTGAGCCTGCAATGCCTTGCTGGTGCCGACGGACGGAGTTGCTGGCGATGATTTGCGCGGCGGTGTAGACGAAGTCCGGACAGAATGAGAAGAGCACGATGGAGGGGAAGACCTGCGCCCAGTAGGTTTGATGCACTGGGACGGTGGCCATTAGTGCGTTGGAGATCAGGATGGTTATGGTTCCGATGGCGAGGATCCATTGCGCTGCGAATCGAGGGACGAGCCATGCCGCAAGGGAGGCTGCGCCCGTGGCACAGATTACGAAGGGGGTCCAGCCGACAGCGAAGTGCAGGGGGGACCAGTGCCAGACGTCTTGGAGCCAGAGGACCTGATACCAGATCAAAGTGCCGACGGCCATGTAGTTGAGGAGGACGACGAGGAGTAGTGTGAGGATTGATGGGGCCTTGAAGATATCGAGCGGCATGATAGGGTAGTCTGTGCCGCTTTTCTCCCAGAGAAGGAAGGCCCCAAAGAGGATGACGGATGTGATTAGGAGGGCGATTTCGTAGGGGGTGGACCATCCTACGCTGGGTGCTTGACTGCAGTAGAGTGTGGTGAGTATGGATTTGTCTTCTTCCGGGCGGATATTAGCTTACTTCCAGACAAAGTTGAACAAGATCAGGGAACTTGTTCCCAGTGCTGATCCTATCCAGTCGATCTTTCCGTGTCTGTCGAGGAGAGTCTCTCGTGAACTCAATGCCCACAAGGGGACAAAGGTGGCAATGCCAATGGCAGCTCTATGGTTCAACTTCGTTAGTACTATCCCATTCAGCAGGGTACTACCACCTACATGAAGACGAAGAACCATTTCCATTCTGTTCCTTCCATGAATGCGCCCAGGAACAATGCCCCGAAATAGCCACCGGTTGGTGCCGACGCAGCGAAGAAACCCAAACTAAGGTTGCGCACGCGTCCTGGAGGATTGGTGCTTGCAATCAGAGCCACAGCATTAGGCATGATGAAGGCACCTCCTAGGCCTGCGAGCGCCCGCATGGCCACAAACGCATAGAAGTTGCTGCAGAAAGCGCTGATCAAGGTACAGAGACTAAGCCATGCTCCGCCCGCCAGCAGAAGCTCTCGATGACCGTAGACGTCTCCCAATCGCCCACTCATAAGAACGAACGTCCCTTGTGTCATTCTATACAGAGTTAGTATAACCATGATGATATTCTCGTTGCTCCAGCTGCTACTAACGCATAACTTGCGCCGATCCACGTGGCAGAGCTCTCCTGAGCACCTAGAGACTCCCCTAGCAGAGTTCCACCCGCGATCCCAGCAAAACTCACAGTCATCTGGCATCCCTCAGCAGCGGAAAATCTAGGAATGTGATGGATACGATACCTGCACAAGATTGGCCAGGAGGAGCAGCACGGTGATGGCCAACCGACGGGATTGAGTGATTTGGACAGAAGGCGCTCGCTCAAAGACGGCCTGGCCCGCCGTGGGCGTCACATTCCGCTGGAGAGAGTCATTGAGCGGGTCTTGGGTATCGTCTGCAGGAGTTTGGGGGATGGACTGGAGAGGAGACGGGACCGCTGGATGCGACAACGACGACGCAGGAGCTGTAACCTCGTAGTGAAGGGCCTGCACCAAGGACATGATGATGGTAGAACAATTGTTAGTGAGGCCAATATGGTGTGCGTTATCAACCTGGAAGGTGAGGTTGAAACAACTCTATCTGTATTATTAATTGACCGGCCCAGTTAGTGTGAATACTAGGATTGCATCCGCATTTAGGCTGAGTGCGGAGAATGCCGAAGCAGCACAACGAGGGGCCGGGATGAGCTATCAACTGCATCGCTTTGAGTCACGGACGAGCATAGGAGACATTTACCAGATAGAGTTATGATAGCCGCCGGAGACATAGCTCCCGATCCTTTGTTATCTTGGCTTTTCCCACTCTCCGCGACCTCGGACACGTTGCAGCCGGGGATTGAGCAGTGAATGTGACTCCCGATGCATGACCAGAAGAGTTTTCTGGAGTGCAGGGGTTATAGTCTACAAGTTAGCTCGTGTGCACCAGCACATGCATCGAAGGGAAAGGTTCTAGACCCAGAAATTTCACAGTGGCAGTTGGATCCCGGATTTTGCGTCACTGTTCAGTACTGATAAAGAGGTGAAATTGAGTTTCATCGACCAGGAGTGGAGACCCCACAAAATATCTCGTATTCCCTCTTTGCAGCATGGCCTCTCCGGGGTGTGTATGACTCGGTCACTGACAGCATGGACTCAGTATGCATGCATCGGGACTGGATAAAAGTGACTCTCATTAGTTGGTGATTGCCGAAGTGACAGATAGTAAATGTTGTTGCATCCCTGCTGAAATAAAGGGCAGAACCAATAGGGGCTAGAGGAAAGTCTCCGCCGCTTCCCTGCAAGCGTGATTTATCTTGAGTCAGTCGTCGTCTTCATTCATGTAGCTCGGCTTCACTCAATGTGCTTAGATGCAGCATGTATGTCCCATGATTGTTCAGTGCAGTCCATTTTGAGCGATATACATAGAATTTAGGTGCTCTGACAGGTTACAAGCGACGTCTAACAACAAGAGTCTGGGGAGATATTGCAACGAATGTTCAGTATATGCATGCATTTATTGTCTTCTCGTATGCTCAGGACGAGCTACCCTGGATAAAGAAGGGCTATGTGTGGTTTTGTGCTCAATCTTGCGTCCCCTTGTATAATGCAGTGACCGGCGACAATTCACTGTCATACCCTCTTCTCTTCGAACAGAGTACTGCCGATCTAATCTTAACATGCACCAGGCGTTATATGTTCCCGGAGCAATGCCAGGACTTCTGGGCAACCGAGCCATGAGGCATACCAGTTTGGCGTACGTCCATGATTATCGTTGGCTTTCATGTCCGCCCCGGCTGTGAGTAGGACTCTGACAACGCCTACATGGCCATGCTGGGCGGCGCATGACAGAGGCGTTCTATACCCACTCCTTAGGTGATCGGGATTCGCACCTTTTAGCAAGAAGTAACTCGTCATATCCTCTAGTCCCAGATTAGCAGCCTCAACCATCGCGTCCGCGAAGTGGCGCCCCACCCTAGGGTCTTTCTTAACCAGCATCTCGACTATGGATTGGTGGTTACGCCATGCCGCACACACCAGGGCTGGACTATCCCATGTCTCGAAACCAATCATCGGGTCCGCACCGTGATCGAGCAGTAAGCGGGTAATCTCATTGTCTCCAGTCCGGGTGGCATTGATGAGGGCTGTCTCAAGTTGCTGGCGATGTACGTAGTTGACGGGAGCGCCATTGCAGAGCAGCATCTTCACAATGTCGACCTGTCTGCTGCGTGCAGCTGCGCACAATGCCCTTCCAAGACTATCAACCTCGGCAGTGTGCGGTAGGTCCTTCACATGGGAGATGAGGCGTTCAGTCACAGCTAGACTTCCAGCAATGATGGCTACCTCAAGAGGACTGTGATCAAGCTTGTTGGGAAGAGTAGGATTTGCGCCCCTTTCGAGTAACCTTCGGACAACAGGCAAGTGCCCTTCACGGACAGCAATAATGAGCGGGGTGTCGCCATGGACGCCAGCGGGATGCTCCATATCTGTTCCTAGATCCAGGAGAACATCGATGATGTTTACGCAGCCGTATGTCGCGGCCGTAGAAATAGGATGTGAGTCCGTACTGGTGTTCTGATTGTTTGCTGGAAGTTTCGCTCCAAAGGCTAGTAGCTTTAGGAGGGTTTGTAGCTGTCCTTTACTGGCAGCCCAATGAAGAAGGGATTCGCCCATGGTCCGCACCGCGCATTGATAGAGACAAGGGTTGACCCACCGATATAAGCATTGGCTGGTCTGAGCGAAGCAGTTGAGGTCGGTTTCGCTTGTCAGGTGCCCCGCGATGATGGGGACCAACTCGGGTGGAAGATGAACGAGTGGCATCGCGAGAAGGTTTGGATATTTCAAGAATAGTCACAGCAGAATATCAAGAGATTAAAGAAGTTTGTAGAGCGCAATTGAGGAAATAATCCATATATTAAATGTGAGGGTAGATTTGCATCCATGATGGCATCCGCAGCTCCCGGCGAGGCTGTTTCCCGATCGGGTCGAGAATTGAATTTACAAGCAAACTTTATTGCTTTCGCTCTCCCTAATCGGCCAGTGGATTTCGATCGCATGGCCTTGGACTTCCCCATTGAAGCAGCCGTTTACTACAACCTTCTCCTGGCATGTATTGGCCCCGTCAAGGACACCGGACTTCACAGTAGCAGCAACAGCTTCGTACAATTCATACAGCGCCAGATTCCTCCCAATGCACGACCGTGATCCCAGACCGAAGGGAAAGAAACACAGCTCGCGCGTTGCGTAGTCAGTCCCATCACTTAACCATCGCTCGGGACTGAACGTGAAAGGATCAGGAAACGCATCGGGATCATGATGGAAGACGTATATCGAGGCCCCGACCGAGACCCGTCCTGGGAGGTACACGCCACTTGCGTGACATCCGCCCTCAGGTACAGCCCTGGTGAGAGGCGCAGGATTGGTCATGGCGAGTCGTAGGCCTTCAGTAATTACGCTCCGTAGATACGGAAGGCTTTGCAGGTCCACTGAGCTGGAGTCGCCTAACTCTTGTTGAAGGCGCTCACGGACGTGGGACTGGCGGACAAGATGGAACAAGACAGTCGCAAGCGTCTGACCAGTTGAGCTGGTCCCAGCGAATAGTGACCCTTCACAGATACCAATGACCTCGTCCTCCGCCGCTCCAGCTATGCGGAGACGGCCGTGGTAGGTGTGTGCTAAGGTACTGAGTTCTGTCTTCACAATTTCCCCAACAATTGATCTTGCGAATTGGTCAACTCGACGCATTGAAGACCCCCAATAACGATCCTTGACGGTGACATGGAGCGACAAAATCCTCGAAAACAACCAGTTGGGAAGCATAGAGTAGTATCCAAAAGCTGCGATAGCCTGCAGCCATGCACTCCCCGAGAATTTTGTCGGCGGTGAGCGAGTATCTAAGTTGACGGGCTCGTTCAGCGCTCCATACGACCTATCGAACATATAGCCCGTCATGGCGTCCATCGAGAGCCGTAACGCCAAATCTAGGATGTCAGCGCGATTCGAGGCGGATTTTACCGCGCGTCTCTTCTCATTGGCCAAACGAGCGATGAACTGCTGGACATATTGCTGAACATTCTGTGTTCCTACCGCTTCTCGTATTCTAGCAGGCGTAAATAATGGCAGGACAGCCTTAGCTCGCTTATCGCGGTAGGCTTTGTCGATAGCGGAGAATATGGTGGGGTGCCCATTGACATCAAAGTTGCGATACCGAGCATCTTTCATGAAACCCCCATTAGCCACGTAGATAGTAGCTAAGGCATGGGGATCGGAGATGGAGACCTGATTTGGGGCGATGCGCAATACTCGAGTGTTGTATCGGTGATGGTAATACACCAGGGTCTGTGGTTCGGACCCAAGGAAGACGATAATCCACTGGGGGATGGATGAGATGCAAAAGATCCAAGGTCCAGGAACATGGGCTAGAGGATGCAGGGTGAGACGATAGATTGCCACGGTGATGACGCCGATGCAGAGGAGGATCGAGGCATCAGCTGCAACCCCGTTACCGAGCAGCATCATGACAAGCACGACACTCCTACCGAAACACTACCAGGCGATCAGCCGAGGCAGTTTTCGCGATGAGAGATTGTCCAGTGTGCCCTTTGCCATTTGATCTTGTCTCAGAGGCGCGTTGATCTGAGCGTTGCCGATCTGCGTCGCAAGAATGACGAGCGGTGAGGGGTTGCAGGGTGGGAGAAAACAAGGCTGGCTCGGATTAACCTTCTCAACATCTCTTCTCCTCCCCTTGCAACGTCTGCTCCATCGCCATGCATGAGACTAGAACCTCGAGCATCTCTGATTCCGAGAAAGCGATATCTGCCTCCGAAGAATGAGAATGGTCATTGAAGTGGAAAATGATAAGGTACCGCCGGGTCCATGGTCCTGAATTATATGAACCTCTCAAAGTCGAGAGAGGCTAACGAGTGATTTGATTGCCAGTGGAAGCCGCACCGGCCAATCCCGACCCAGAAGCTGCTGCTATAAATGGCCAGGACACCCTCACATTTCATCATTGCAATAGCCTGAAAGGGGAGGGGGATGTCCATCAAACACGAACCACCGATAAATGAGAACCTTCCCCGCAGTCCGAGCGGACGATCGGCGACGATCCCCTGGCAAGAACCACGGGTCGGCCAGCGACACCCCTGAGACGCCTGCAAGTCGCTATCGAGATCCGAGGTTTCTCGATTGTCTCAAAGACGGGGAGTTTCATATGCAACTGGCCCGGCTGCCGTCGCATGACAAACAACGATGCTACATAAGCAGATCGTAACCCACCGTCCCATTTGAAACTCCATGACTGAATTCTACACTCAATTTCACCCATCATGACTACCAACGGCATTCAACCCGGCCACGTCGGCAATCTGACTCAGGATCAAGAGGCCAAATTACAACAGCTCTGGTCCATTGTCCTTACTCTGCTGGACGTGAAGTCCCTACAGAGTGGAGATGCCTCGGCACAGACCCAGCCCGACCAGCGTCCAAGCACGTCGCTCTCCCGAGCCGACACCGTCGTTTCCGCTCATGGCCAGACGGCTTTCACAGAAGACTTGTCCCGAGTCCTCCGGGAGAATGGCATGAGCAACCCTGACATTAAGTCCGTCCGGGAGGCCCTGAGTGACACCTCGATCGACGACCTTCGCTCGGGTCTGTTGTACACTGCCAAACATGACTCCCCTGACGTCCTCCTACTTCGCTTCTTACGCGCTCGCAAGTGGGACGTCAGCAAGGCCTTCGGGATGATGTTGAAGGCGCTCGTCTGGCGCAAGGATCAGCACGTCGACGACAAGGTGATTGCGAACCCTGAACTTGCCGCTTTAGTCACGTCGCAGAACACGGTGGACACGCACGCGGCCAAGGAGTGCAAGGACTTCTTGGACCAAATGCGTATGGGGAAATGTTATATGCACGGAACCGACCGGGATGGCCGACCTGTTCTCGTGGTGCGCGTTCGCTTCCATCAACCCTCAAAACAGAGCGAGGCAGTGATCAATCGATTCATCCTTCACACGATCGAGACAGTCCGGTTATTGCTGGCACCTCCCCAGGAGACAGTGGTACGTCTATCCATCTCTTGTTTCCTTGGGCTCCCACGTGTTGTCCCCCGCTAATCATCCATGTGGCAGACCATCATCTTTGACATGACTGGCTTTGGCCTCTCGAACATGGTAAGTTGCTCTGCAAATCAGGGATATACGCAGGGGGGACTGATCATGACCAGGAATATGCACCGGTGAAATTCATCATCGAGTGTTTCCAGGAGAACTACCCTGAGTCGCTGGGATACATGCTCATCCACAACGCTCCTTGGGTCTTCTCTGGTATGTTGCCCCCCCTAGCCCCTTTACTCTGCCGCCTCTAATGAAGCGATAGGAATCTGGAAGATCATCAAGGGGTGGATGGACCCGGTGATTGTGTCGAAAGTGAACTTTACCAACAAGGTGTCCGATCTGGAGAAGTTCATTGCCCCGGAGCAGATTGTGAAAGAGCTGAAGGGCAAGGAAGACTGGACCTATGAATACGTCGAACCGGTTGCCGGCGAGAACGAGCTGATGGCGGATACGGAAACCCGCGACCGCATTTACAGCGAGCGGTTGAAGATTGGCGAGGAGCTGCTGCTGCGGACCTCCGAATGGGTCTCCACCAGCCAGCGAAAGGACGCGGCCGCTGCCACAACGGCCCGAGAACGACGGAGCGAGACGATCGAATCGCTGCGCCAGAACTACTGGGAGCTGGATCCGTATGTGCGCGGGCGCACGTTCCTGGACCGGACGGGAGTAGTCAAGAAGGGTGGCAAGATTGACTTTTACCCCAGCCCCGATTTGGAGCCCGCCACGGCTAAGATGCTGGAAGTGGAGCATTTTGAGCGAGCTCAGGTCAAGGTGGTGGATATGCAATGATTGATTGTTTCCTTTGTCAGGTTCATGGCGTCAGGTTAGGAAGTAATGCTCTTGTGGGATCGTGGATTATTATAGTTACTTAAATTACACATTTTCTTAACACATGCATAAGACCCGACACATATAGGTCATAGATTTCTATCAAGATGGCAGAGATTCAGGGTCGTCTTCGAATGGATGATTCAATATAGCTGAAATCTCCCCTTTCCCGGCTTCCCCCCAAAAGAGAATCCCGACCGCATCGGCGAGACTCGAGTTCCCCACGTGGTGGGTTCCCTACCATTCAACATGTTCAAATTAATCACTGCTTCAACTTTGAAAAACAAAAAAAAAACCTTCCTCATTTTTTCAATATATTTTTAATGTCCTCTCTCATCTCTCCTTTCATATCATGCACCATAAAAGATCCGGGATATGCTCGCCGGCAGTCATGGCTCAGCTGCAGCGCAATTTGGCCCCATGCCGCGGAATCCGCTCCCTTTGATCCTGCTTCTCCCTGGCCCGCCCCTTTTCTATTCAGCTTCCCTGCAAGCTTTGGGCAAACACCCACTATCGGCGCCACTAGAGTCGGGTTCTCGCGGACGATCGATCCAGACATCACTGGCACTGACCAGCACCATCTTCTTCAAGTCTTACAGCCCGAAGTGTGACTGGGACCTATCTTCCTCCTGTGCAGGTGTCTTACGCACCGATGTCCAATTAGCTGGCGTTCCGTTCCCCGCATCGGTTCCTGAAGGTTCATCCGAGGCGCACCCCTCCTGACATGGTTGTATGTGCCCAAATCTCTCCCCTGGCTATCACCTGCCTATACCGGCTTAGCTGTCAGCACTTGGTCCTTGTGATGCATCTACTAATCGCACACTAAACTAGTACTTGCTGCATCTCTGTATGAAGCCTTGACTTCAGACTCTACAGAGTAGTGGAATTAGCTGCTCAGCCCGGTTGATCTTTCCCCTCTTCGTGTCATCCTCCCCTAGCACCGTTCGGCTGATTGGCAGGAAGGTTTATGAAGTCGATCGGGCTCTGCATCTGTGCAGCTGAGATGCATCACAATCATCACCAATCATGGGTATCCCTGTCTCCCGATTGATGGCCATGTATAATCTCCGATCAGTTCACTTGTTCAGCTGCGGGAGGGGGTTACGACCATGTAATACTACAGTGGCCTCGGGATTTATTCTTGTCGACCCGTCTGATTGGATCTACGCTCTCAGGGACTCGTCCTGCCATCCATGTCCCATTGGCATGATGGAGCCCCCGCCTGACATTCCTTTCTACCACGCCCTCCTGACCTTCTCGGTTCGAACCATATTTATTTATGCTGCCCCATGGTGGACGCATTGCATTCTGTCACTGCAGCGTTGTGGCTCTCCCTAGCTAGCTCAAGGCGCATCCTCGTGGAATGCTGTCCACAATGGCCTTTTCCTTCGTTCTTCGTATTCTATCCCCCCTTTTCCTAATCCTGCAACTGTCGACGGCAGCCTCGACGTCCACTCTTCGCCAATGCCTTCTCACCGCGGTGCAGAATGACCCAACCCTTGTCGCCGTGGATGGTGACCTTCTCTATCAGACGCTCGCCGTTCAGGTCTACAACCTGAACTGGCCCGTCACGCCGGCAGCAGTGGCCTTTCCCAAGTCCACCCAGCAAGTCGCCTCTATCGTCAATTGCGCCGCGTCGCTGGGCTACAAAGTCCAGGCCAAGAGCGGAGGCCACAGTTATGGCAATTACGGTACCTAGTCCCTGCCCTCGTTCGTCAGCCGCTCACCCTACTGACCTCACCACACTTTAGGCCTCGGCGGCACCAATGGCGCGATCAGCATCAACCTCAAGAATATGAAATCCTTCTCCATGAACTACACCAACTACCAGGCCACCGTGGGCGCCGGCATGCTCAATGGCGAACTCGACGAATATCTCCACAACGCCGGGGGGCGGGCCGTCGCGCACGGCACCTCTCCACAGATCGGCGTTGGAGGTCACGCAACCATCGGTGGACTGGGTCCCTCGGCGCGTCAATATGGAATGGAACTGGACCACGTTTTGGAAGCCGAAGTCGTTCTTGCCAATGGCACCGTAGTGCGCGCCTCGTCTACCCAGAATTCGGACCTACTATTTGCCATCAAAGGCGCTGGCGCCAGCTTCGGCGTCGTCACCGAGTTCGTCTTCCGCACAGAGCCCGAACCGGGCTCCGCAGTCCAGTATACCTTCACCTTCGGACTCGGAAGCACTTCGGCGCGCGCCGACCTGTTCAAGAAGTGGCAGAGCTTCATCTCTCAGCCAGACCTCACCCGCAAATTTGCTAGCATCTGCACCCTTCTCGATCACGTCTTGGTCATCTCCGGTACCTTCTTCGGCACCAAAGAAGAATACGACGCTCTCGGTCTGGAGGACCAATTCCCCGGCCACACCAACTCCACCGTCATTGTCTTCACCGACTGGTTGGGCCTCGTGGCCCAATGGGCCGAGCAGTCCATCCTTGACCTGACGGGCGACATTCCCGCGGACTTCTACGCCCGCTGTCTCTCCTTCACGGAGAAGACCCTCATCCCGTCCAACGGCGTCGACCAACTCTTCGAGTACCTCGACAGCGCTGATACCGGAGCACTGCTCTGGTTCGTTATCTTCGACCTCGAAGGTGGCGCCATCAATGACGTCCCCATGGACGCAACGGGGTATGCCCACCGCGACACGCTCTTCTGGCTGCAGTCGTACGCCATCACGCTGGGATCTGTGTCGGAGACCACCTATGACTTCCTGGACAGCGTGAACGAGATTATTCGTAACAATACTCCCGGTCTGGGTAATGGAGTGTATCCAGGCTATGTGGATCCCCGTCTCGAAAACGCTCGCGAGGCGTACTGGGGTTCCAATCTGCCGAGATTGATGCAGATCAAGTCGTTGTATGACCCGACCGATCTGTTTCATAACCCGCAGGGCGTGTTGCCTGCGTAATTTGATTGTGGAGTTCGGGATTGCTGGGGGGTTTTCTTGATTCGTACATGGGTTTCATTTCTTGGATAATTTATCAAGTATCTTGTACCTAGTTGGTTGTTTTAATGAAATCAGCCTCCGCCCCATCTAATTCTTCGATATCATAATATCTTTTGTATAGTGCTTCGCATCGCGATCGTGTCACATGCTGTCTACCTGTTCTATCGCTTCTATACCGTAACTATACTGTACCTACAACTTCGCCGCCGGTCCATCCGCCCGAAGAACCGCCAACGCGGCGGGCGTCACATCCGCCAGGGTACGACACCCCGTCAATTGCATGCAGCGCTTGAACTCTTCGTAGAGGATATCCAGAACGCGAGAGACACCATTTTCTCCGTCGTACTGTTGTCAGGGTGGTTAGCATACCATCGCTGTTTTCCAGATTACATAAATGGGGTCGGCATCTAAGAAGCAACGGGAACATCATACAGCTAAACCCCAGATCGTCGGCCTCCCGATCCAGCAACACTCGGCTCCCAATGCCAATGCTTTGAAGATATCCGTTCCGGTCCGGATACCTCCATCGATATGTACGCGTATCTTCCCTGCCGCGGCTTCTACGCATTCGGGGAGTGCGTCAATGGTTGGCACGACTTCGTCTAGCTGTCTTCCGCCGTGGTTGCTCACAATCACCCCGTCACAGCCGTATTCTCGGGCAAGAAGGACGTCCTCGGCTGTCAGGACGCCCTTGATCCAGATCTGCATGTTCGTGACGGACCGCAGCCACGGGATCTCTTTGGCCCAGCTATGTGCATCTGAGTTTGTCGCGACGAAGCCTGCGTCGTGTGTGACCTGTTGGAGTTGCTCAGATGTGACTCCCATCATGGGCCAGGAGAGGCCCTCTGGTGTGCGGAAGTCATTGCGGGTTTCGTTGTAGCGGTATCCCAGGACGGGACTGTCGGCTGTCAGAAAGATGGCTTTGCAGCCTGCTGCTTCGGCGCGACGGATGATTTGGGTCTGTAGGGCGCGGTCGCGGAAGGTGTATAGTTGCATGGTGTGTGTCGCTGAAGGGTTGAGTTGTTGGCCGGCTTGGATGACGTCTTCGACTGGGTATGTGCTGAATGAGGAGACGGCCATGGGGATGTTGCGACGTGCGCTGGCTCGACTGCTGGCTAGTTCACCTTGGGGATGTGCCATTGCCTGGATGCCGGTCGGGGAGAGGCCGAGTGGGAAGTCGAAGGTCTGATTGAAGAGGTTGAGTCGCAGATCGAGTTGGGAGACATCGACTAGGACTCGTGGGCGAAGTCGGTATTTCTTGTAGGCGGTCGAGTTCTCTGTTACGGTGATTTGGGTGGTCGAGCCGGAGTTGTAGAATTCTGAGGTTTGGTTAGTGAATTGCGATGGATCTCAAGATAGGAAATGCGGACCTCGCGCTTTAAGAGGGAGTTTCTTCGAACCGGCAATCTTGATGTCCTCGATGCTGAGCATCAATTCGGGCAGGGAGGGAGCCATGGTGGGTGCTGCTGATCTGGTGAAGCAAGCGTCTCGGTCGGAGAAGGATGATACAGAAGAATTGAGTCGAAGATAGGTTGGGGGAAGCGTTACCCCTCGGTTATGCAGGTGGTTCGTGTCTTATCGAGGGTCGAGCGGGGATACAATGCCGAGTGACTTGTCTCTGCAGCTGCAGGTTGCTAGTCAACCATTGGTGGCCGTGGTTTCGTCCCGCCATTTGGTGTCGCTGATCCCCATTCACAAGTTACTAGTTACTAGTAGTAGCTTGCTTTTCAATTGACCAATCGTGCGTAGGATGTGTAGGGTCACTCCTTAGTATAGTTAGTCCTCGGTAGATAGGGATGTGAGGATATCGCGATCGCGCAGAGATGTAGTCGCATGCCTTGTTATTTCCAATGCAATTCCCATAACGGTCGCACTTCGCTATTAATGATTCTTGTTCTTTGTAAGATGAATTCGAATCCTATAGCCATTCCAGAGCGGTCTTCCAACGTTCGGGTCCACCGTCATGGCACCAAGGGTCTGTTGTGTCTGATATATGACGGATGATGTGCGATACGACGAAGATAGTTCCTAAACGGACATAAGTGATTAGTCGAATACTTAGTTGCTGGGATATATCGTCATTTAAGGGAAGGCTTACTGAATTCTCGCGTTATCTGGGACAAGCCAAGTAAGTTGCTATAGTGTGAAGCCTGATATCGGTCCGCAGGAGTCATCCGCCAGAGCTGCTTGAGTTGATTGGGTCCAAGGACCAGTAATAACAGTTGCGTCAACAGAGCTATAACAAGCAAGACATACTTGTATAGTATCACCGGGATAAGTATTAAAGAGTGCTGATTGTCGGGGTGGGATAGGCAACTGCCAGTTGCGGAGTGATGATCAAGGTATGGACTACTCTTCGAACGGCCTGGCGGTAGAAAAAGTGGAATATGGGGGCAAAGGCACGAGGATGCACTCATATATCAATGAGAAGCTGAAACCTTTCTGTGAAGCTCGATGTCTCCTACACTACCTGGTAGACGGGTGTTGATCACGCAGGTTGGGTGTTGAAAGCCCACACACGAAGGCAGCATATTGGGTAGGTTGAAGTGATTTGGATGGCTTCAAAATAGCCTACAAAGAAAAGAGAATAGAATGGGTATACAATCGTGGTTGTGCGGAAAGGCAGGAACCGTACGGGAGGGAAGGGGAGCGGGAGGGAGCAGGATGAGAAGTTGTAATGTGGATGGCTTCATCAAAGACGAAGCGGGTTACTTGCGGCATGTTCACGCTGGAGCTGGTAAACTAAGTAAAGACGGAACGGTTGGTTGCATTGGTACTAGCAATGGCCTAATAACAGTACTGCTTAGTCTCCCTCCACCACAGTAGGAGTAGCTCTCCTAGTAAGTAGGACCTGTGTATAGCCTCACGCGTTCCTCGAAGGAACAAAACACCAAAGCAACATCGAAAAAAAAAGATGCCGGTTTAACCCAGTTACTTTCCCTTCAATTAACCTGGTCTTCGTGCTTAGTATCGAGTTGTAGCCGGTAGGCCCTACACTCTTAGACGCACACAATGAAGACTGCCTCAGGAACGGCCTCGATATCACGCCGGTAGGGGCCGGGACTGGGATTCGAACGTGTGCCACTGCGTTTCCTACAACCTTTACGGGAGGTAATGACAGCCTTCTCTTAGGGCGACACTGGGCGGCTCATTGGCGTACCTTGAAGTCCTCCGGCCGTTAGACCATCGGGTTCACTGGGTTAGTGGGGCTTTCCGATCTACAAACATAAGGGAGCGTTGTAAGGATTCGAGGTTGCTGATTGGCTGGCGATCTTTGCTAAGGCAGGCGCAGCTGGAAGAAGGCTGGAGGACATCTGGGGAAGGAGCAGTGAATTGCGGGAGGTGAAGTCATTGCGGCAGTTGGCAGTTGCGCGGAGGGCGGATAGATAGTGGATATAGCGGATATCAACATCGCGGATGGGGATGGCGGCCGCGGAACTCTTGGCGACCACAACAACTTTTGAGGACGAGGACCAAATCGATCCTATCATTGTTGGCTATTTGCATGCAGCATTATCGTATCTTGAGCATTGAAGCGCAAGAGAAAGTGTGAGCTGGAATCGTGATGGCCAGGCTATCATGGCTTCAGTTCATCCTCATTTTTTTGAAATTCCAATGTTGGACGCAGCTCTATGATCATGTTAGCAAGACGGTCTCTAAATTCTTCATTTCCAGGGTCTTTGGTTCGGAACTATCTATTATTCATATAGACATAATTCCAACTTAGTTACGTATTCTTGTAACTCGTATATCTTCTGTCAGGTTTGACAGTCGTTGACTGAATATTTTCCCACGGATTATTGTGGGAGACGGGAGTAATCCCCGCTTCCTGACAGACCAGGCGGTGAGACTGACCCACCTAAGCGATGCCCCCGTCCATCTCTATAGTAGTATTATCACCATCACAGCTAGGTGTACCATGGAACTTCTTAACACAAATAAACAAATGCTTCGTTGCATAGAAGAGATGTCGCTGTTAGTTATCTCTGATCTATTTGGGCATTATTATGTCTTTGTTTTCGCTCATGGCAGAAACTTTCAACCCCCTCTTTTCGTTGACGGGTGATCAAGCAGTCTACCGGGACTGCCGTTCTAAAGTCTACGATGGTTACTCTGCAAATCCATGCTCCCAAGGCGATTATCAGCTATTGATAGAGATCATCTCAACGGAGTGCGCAATCTCGTCTACTTTACCGTCAGTTCGTGATCGGTCCATATGAAATTCAGGTAAATCCACGTACCCCTCATCCCGTTGAGTGCCTCGAACGCAATCGCATAGTTCCCCAAAGCCTTTGAGACCTGCCGCAGGCTTTGTCGCAGCTCATCCAGGAACCCGCCTAGAGATCGACTGCTTGAGACTGTCAAGTCATTCCCCACTGGCTCACGCATCGCCCGGGCCTTCAAACACAGCATGATCATCGCATAGCTTGACTGCATGGCACAACAGGCGAAGGTCGGCATCATCCGTGGTATCTCCACCCGGGAATTGCGTGAAAGGTAAGGTGGACGAGTCAACGGGATCTCATTTGTTGGATTTGGATACGGCAGGCTGTCCAGAAGGCTGACAATATTTAATGCTGCATGAAGGCAGATTTTCGAGGACGCGTGTGCGGAAAAGGGAAAGTCGATAGCTGCGGGCTCGGAAAGCACAGAGGATAGAAAGCTGTCTGGTGAGGATGTAGGTGGTCTGGAATCTTCGGCGGCCTGCACACGACAGCATCTGGGCCCTGCAGCTGCATCCAGGTCGCAATGGCGCTTGCGAAAGACGGGGATATCTTGGAAAGCGCAAAATCGGTGGGTCTTGATCCTAGCGCTGCAAGGAGTCAGTCATGGTTGTTACAAGAAGAACATGCAGGCATCTACCTGTGTAGCTTGATCTCAGCAATGTGTCTTATCGTATGCAGGGCAACGACGTCCGGTGAGTCCTGGCTTGTGACAGGCGACTTTTTGGTTGAGTCGTGGATAGACACGCGACATGGATGCAGCAGACATGTTATCTGGTTGTCCAGCTCTGTCATCCGCTGGGGAACCCAGGAGGCATTGAAGTGAGACTTCGTGGTTAGATCCAAATCGTGAACAAAAGTTGTGGCTTCGAGAATGGTCTGCTGGGCTTCG